CTTCCGTCAATTCCTTTAAGTTTCAGCCTTGCGACCATACTCCCCCCGGAACCCGTAAACTTTGATTTCTCACAAGGTGCTGGYAGAGTCATCCAATAGACATCCGCCAATCCCTAGTCGGCATCGTTTATGGTTGAGACTRGGACGGTATCTGATCGTCTTCGATCCCCCAACTTTCGTTCTTGATTAATGCGAACGTCCTTGGCAAATGCTTTCGCAGAAGTTYGTCATCCATAAATCCAAGAATTTCACCTCTGACAATGGAATACAAATGCCCCCAACCGTCTCTATTAATCATTACTCCAATCCCGAAGACCAACGAAATAGGACCAGAGTCCTATCGCGTTATTCAATGCTTATATGTTCAGAGCCCAGGCCTGCTTTGAACACTCTATTTTTTTCAAAGTAACAGCGTCGGCTCTGGATCCCAGCCAATAAAGGCAAGTAACGCATACCCGGCAAGAAAGGCGAAAGGGCCGRTACACGCCCGCAAGAGCGGACCAACCCCTCCCACCCAAAATCCAACTATGAGTTTTTTAACTGCAACAACTTAAATATACCCTATTGGAGCTGGAATTACCGCGGCTGCTGGCACCAGACTTGCCCTCCAATGGATCCTCGTTCAAGGAGTTTATGACTGTTCTCATTCCAATTACCGGACWCGAAAGAGCCCAGTATTGTTATTTATTGTCACTACCTCCCTATGTCAGGATTGGGTAATTTACGCGCCTGCTGCCTTCCTTGGATGTGGTAACCATCTCTCAGGCTCCATCTCCGGAATTGAACCCTACTCTTTGTCACCCGTTACCACCATGGTAGGCCTCTATCCTACCATCGAAAGTTGATAGGGCAGAAATTTGAATGGAACATCGCCGACTCAAAGGCCATGCGTTTCGACAAGTCACTGTGATTCGCTGCAACAACAGGCAAGCCCGGATCGGCCTTTTATCCAATAAATACATCCCTTCCAGAAGTCGGGATATGCTGCACGTATTAGCTCTAGAATTACCACGCTTATCCGAGTGGTAAGGAGACCACCAAATAAATGATAACTGATTTAATGAGTCATTCGCAGTTTCTTTTTTTTCTTTTTTTTAAACTCGCACACACACATACCCCTTCTATTGTGGGGGGCGACAGTACGGTTACTTATCACCGGCAAGCAAGTATAGACTGTGAAAAAGAACAGACAGATTAGACAGCACTTGAGGTTTTTTGGAGGTATCGACCCCGGTCAGCACCTTGAGTCGCATGCGTCGGTTTGAGAATCTCACTGAACTCAGGTCTGCATCCCCCTGAGAAGGGAAGTTGCCKGGAGGCGAACCGCACCCAGTYGCAACTTCCTCCYTCAGGAGGTCACTGGCCCGCTAGAGTGACTACTCTCCCCTCGCTCMMTCCCAACACACAGAACCCGCCCTTTCCCTTTCCCTCCCTTAACCCCACYCGATCCTAATCTACTCTCTCTCCCCTTTCCCTCCCCCCTCCCCTCTTCTMCCCAATCGGTCCCCTCCCCCCAGCCTTTTTGGCCTTGTGTATGGTTTCCACATCTAAGTCTCTCACTCCAGCCTTTTTGGCATTTTAGTCAGTTTTCARTCTTCAGTTTCTCCCAAAGCAATACCCRTTACTCASTCCTCTMTRCGTACCCTCTCCCTCTTCCCTCAGTCTGAYCTCACTTCTTCTGATACTATTCCTAAGGGCTACTCTCCCCACCTCCCCTCCTCCCTACCTCCCCTCGCCTTCTCCTCCCCKTTTCTCATGAGATGTTCTGTTKCTAAGTGTAACCCCCGTTTCCCTACCCTCCCCTTCCTCTATACATTCCYAGTCTATRCATGCACATTCTACCCTCCCCCTATGTTCCCCACCCCTCTATTTCYAGTTTCCTACTCCCTCCCCCTCTCATCGGCCAGATCAACCTTGTTATTTTACATCGGGGAGTCGTCCTCCCCCACCTCACTTCCGTATATCCCTTCTGAGTCCTCATCCATTATGCTTTCCCGCGTTCCTCGTGGGACCGGTCCCTCTGTATCCTGAGTTCTTGCCTCCCCTTGCCTCTGTTCCTCCGCCTGTATACCTGACAGATCCCCATCAGACTCCCTGTTGGCCTGTTTCGTATCCTCTTGTGTTGCCCCATTCTCCAACTGGGATGTCATAAGATGCCCCTATTCCCATTGATCTGGCTTCTCCCCTATCCATACCACAGTCTCATAGCCTGTCCAAGCGTCCTTCAGGAACCGCCACCCTCCCCCTTTTCTCTTCTGAATGTCCGTCATTATAGGCGTTCTGAGGTACATCAGGAACCAGCTCCGGAGGGTAGCTGCAGATCCCTTCCTTTCTTGCGTCAGCATTCTCCCTCTGATTGCCCATACTGCCGCCCAGAAAGCCACCCGTATTAACTCCTCGGCATATACCCGCACCAGTGATTGCTCTCGTCCTGCCAGCAGTTGACCCACCAGAACCGCCCCCTTGAAATTTGGACGTTCTGGGGTCATTGGCACCTTTTCCCCCAGTGTTTTCCACCATCCCCCAGAACTCAGTCTGGTATGCGCAATCCAGTCACAGATGTGGTATGTTCTCCGTCTCTTCGCCACATGCCTTGCATCCTGTGTCCTCATATGCACTGTGCTGTGCCATCCACTGGAACGTGGGAATGGCCAGTTGCAGATTCATCCAGAACCCTCCTGCCTGTTTCTGATCCGGTAGCATGTTGAACAGCGAACATGTCTCCTCCCAGAATGTCTGTGTCCAGCATGCCAACTCGCTCTACTGTAGCCATCCCCTCCACCATATCTGTTGGCACATTCAGGGTTCTGTAGATAACTTTGGTGGAGCTTTTGTGCAACGATGTCCCTTGCCGTTGCGAGTTCGTGGCTGCCCATTCCCACATGGACGGATCCCATGTTAGCTGCAACGGTTGTTGTTCCATTTTGAAGGGTCTGAATCCCCCCCCATCTGAGACAACTCTGTCTCTCAACACTACCACCGCCCTCATGTTGCTTCTGTGTAACAGCCCATCTCTTTCTGGCTTCCTTTGCATCCGTTCCCCCAGGCCACCTTCCGTGTGTCTCACTTCCCACCCCTCACCCCCGAACCAGTCCTCCCTTTCTTGGTTAATCGGTCTGAATAGGGTGTTCGGAGGCTCTTCCGTTCTCAGCGCCACCCACTCCCCCCGGACCCTCTCATCCCTCTTCATTCTCCCCACCCATTCCTTTGGGATTGCCTGTCTCAGTCTGGCCAGTCGAATCTTCTTGTCTGGTTGATGTCTGAGACGCTGTTCCATCTCTTCCTCCTCTTTCCAGTCTCTTTTTTCCCGATCCCAAAATCTCCTACTCTGTACACCCCACACTTCAACCACTGCCTCCCAAAGGCTCCTTGTTTCCCTTGCCAGGGAAACGGGTGGTCATTCTCTCCTATATGCTGATTCCCAAACAGTGACTGACCAAGTATCTGGTTCGTCGATTGGGGTGCCATCTGCCTTAAGGCAGCTCTCCTCCATTTTTCCAGTGTCGGTGACCAGAGCTCATCGCGGGTAAGCCATTTTTGCAGCTGGTGATGCAGCAATGCCGTTTCCACGTCCGCCGGGTCCATCCTCAGAGCCTGTGCCATACTGTGCAATGTAAGGATCTTCCAGGGGGCCTCATCCCTTTCCAGCAAGAGCCATAACACCGTTCTCATTTGCAGCGCGGTCGCTTGCTTGTGCCGATCCAACAAACCCAGTCCCCCCATTCTTCTTGGCTGAATCAATTTCTCCCATCTCACCCTATATATCAGGTGTGACGCATAGGGGTCATTTTTCCACAGATATCTCCGGAGAGCCGTCTTGTACCCTTGCCATGCTCTCTTTCCTGGGTCGGACAGCGGTGCCACATACCATAAGGTGGATGACACCTCGTTATTCGCTATCAGCACTCTCCCCACCACCCCAATCACCGCCCGACCAGTCCATCTATGCATCTTAGTCAAGGCCACCGACAACAGCTCCTCCATCTGCTGCCCCGTCGACAGTGCCGCCGGTACCATAATACCGAGGTACCGTGTATTCTGTTCTTGYGGCAGAATGCGCATTTCTGGGAAGCAGTCCGCGTCTGCACCCTCAGGTAACAATACCAGCAATTTTGCCCAATTCACCTTCGCCCCTGCAAAATGCTGGAAGGTTTGCACCTGTCCTCGCAGCGCCTGTACACAGCCTTGAGAGCATTCCACGAAYGCCRCCGTGTCATCTGCGAAACTATTTGATTTAAGGTCCTGGCCCTGCGGCAGCTGCACTCCCCGAATCCCTTGAYCTGCCCGGACCATAWCATKRAGATGCTCAACATATAAAACGTACAGCGCCRGTGATAACGGACTTCCCTGCCGGACAGATCTTGTAACCCTCATCAGACTTGAGCAAAAACCGTTGATCTGSACTCTCGCCGTAGCGGTTGCCAACAAACATCCCACTGTTCTTCCAAACMTGTCCCCAACCCCTCTCACTTTCATCCYTTGTATCAAAAATCGCCATCTAACCCTGTCATACGCCTTTTCRAAGTCCAGGACCAGAACAGCCACCGGTGGTACTGTGTCTGTAGCTCTGTGAAGGACCTCCCTGGTCATGATGGCGTTAGTAAGGATYTGTCTGCCTGGTACAAACCCYGTCTGGKTTGGATGAATAAGTGATGGGMGGAACTTCGTCATTCTGTTTGCCAGGATCTTTGCGTACAATTTGTACRGAGCCKACAACAAAGAAACCGGTCTCCAGTTCCTGATGTATGTGATGTCCCCCTTCTTGTGCAGCAAGATAATCRTTGCTTCCCCAAAGCCTTCTGGAAACCTTTGTCCTTCGACAAAAAATGCATTACACAGTTCGTGAAGCAGCGGCATAAGCACTTCTTTCGCTGCCTGAAGCTGGTCCATTGGCAGCCCGTCCGGTCCTGCTGCCTTCCGTTTTGGCATGTCTGCAAGTGCTTTCGATATCTCTCGGGTCGTAATCGCTTCCTCCAATTCCTGCCTCTGCTCTTCCCGTAGTTTGGTCTTTGCCTTCTCCCAGACCCTGGTTCTCGCTGTCTCCCTCATCTCCTCCTCTCCCCAACTCTCCGACTCCCTATACAGATTAGAATAGAATGCCTCCGCATACCGCAGTATCCCTGGTGTAGTCTCCGCCACTGGCTCGTCCGGCTGAAATGGGTGCCGCAGTGCCGTGATCACCCTGGCTCCCCCACTAAACTGCAGCTGCCCAAAAAAGGCAGCCGACATCCTCTCTCGCAGTCTTACCCACTTCGTTTTAGACGCCAACCCCCATTTCTGGGCGTCTTCCTTCTGCCATTCCTCCCACTGCGCTTTGAGTGTCGCCCATTGTGTCCACCACTCCTCCTCTTCTCCCTCCGGGGGGTCCGACCCCAGTTCCTCCAGTCGCTCACCATACTCCTGTCCTGTCCTCAGATGTGCTTGCCTTGTGGCTCTCGCTCTTGCCAACAACAGGCTGGCCAGTTCCTGCAATCCCGTCTGGAAGTGTTCGGCTACCGATGTGCCCGGAACTCCCAGTTTCTCCCAATATTCCCAATGCTGCCTTATCAACTGAAGGTGCAGCGAATCCCGAAACATCCAATGAGGAACCGTTGGGGGCGGGGCCTTTGTTTCCACCCGAGCCRGGGCCAACACTTGTACCATCAACAGTTTGTGGTTTGAGAGCGCCACCGGCTTGGTTGTCACTCTCACCAATCTGTGCATCACATCCGCTTGCAACCATGCCATATCCAATCTACTCCTTCTCCCCAGCCCTGCTCCTGTCCATGTGTACCCTTTCTCCCCCGGCCAAGTCTTCCTGAAGGCATCTTCCATCTCCAACTCCGCCATCATTTCCTTCAAAGCCTCCGCGTCCAGCCGAATCTATCCCTCATGTGGCGAGTCCAGTCCGGGGCAGATTACTATATTCAAATCTCCCATTAGCATCGTGTTGGTAGATTCCGGGATATGTGAGGGCAGCTCCCTCCAAAACCACTTCCTCTCCGTCGTATCCGATGGGCCAAAAACTATAGTCACAATGTACTTTTGTCCCTCCGATTCCATCCATATCCATGCCCATCGCTCCTGTGTGTCTGCAAAGAAATCTTGCACCTCGCCCTGGAAGTGCTTAGTTGTTATGATCGCCACCCCTCCCCTTGTTCTCGTTGTCGGAGCCCATATCTGGAATCCATCCCCAAACTCCCTTCTCCCCTCCCTCGAGATTCTTTCCTCCCTCAGTCTAGTCTCCTGCAGACACAGGATATGTAGTTTCTCTCTATCGACTAGCTTCCGCAGCTCCCTGGACTTCCACTTAATGGAACGCTCCCCCAGCCCTCGCACGTTCACTGTTCCTAGTCTAAGCACCTTCCTCATCTACTCCCACTCTCTATCCCCCTATCCGTCCCTTGGCGGTATCYATTCTTCCATCCCCCTTTCCCACCCTTGTCTTTCCATTTTTGTCTCSCTCCCYGTGTCCCCTTCCCAACTCCGGTTCATCAGGGGACGTTCTGGGACGCTGTGTTCACCGAAACCCTCGACCTTCTTRARGTTGTTGTGGGGTACCGGTGGTGACTCAAGGAGGAGCTCCCATGTTGGGCCGCACCTGTTGCCACTTGTCTCTGTCCTGAAGTAGTTGCTCTTGAGGCGGGCCCATGTGGAGGGGGTCGTCTCGCCGTATGCTGGCTTGTCGAGGTCGATCGGCGCCGGCCTATTGCTGATCCCGTCTGTCTTTGGTCTAGTGACGAGGTTTGTCTTCTTTGCTGGTTCGCCGATCTCGCCACCGGCCAATCATAACCCTCAATCCAAAATCCGTGGTTGGTGAACTTCTTGCCTTCCGGAAGGCGCTGGTTTATCCCTCGCAGTATATGAGTGTCCACCGTAGTTGCCGTCGCAAATCCTGATGTTGCTTGCATTGCCGTCGTCAGCAACGGGCCAAACTCGTTCCACAGGAACTGCGGCTCCAATTAGGGCAGTCGCGCATCTATGTACAGATCTGCCTGTAATAGGAAGATCGTCAATCCCATCGGCCGTTTGTCCTCCCCTTTTTCTATCAATCTGATCGCGGAGATGCCAGCAATCGGTTTAACCTCGTAACTCTCCCCCACCCAGTTCTTGGCCGTTGCCACAGCTCTTTGTTGTGATGGATGATCTTCCAGATTGGTCATCGCAAAACCAACCTCGTCTTCATCGGCCTCCTGCGTGGTAACCAGTATCTGCAAACCCGCCAGATTTCGCATGAAGATCAGCGGCACCACCCTTAGCCGGTCTTGTT